TGTATAAGAACAGATGTAAGAGGAAGATATCTAACATACTGAAAGACTCCTCTCATCCGGGACATCAGCTCTTTAAATTATTACCATCAGGAAGGAGATTCAGGGTATTGAAAGCAAGGACAGGCAGATTCAATAACAGTTTTTACCCAAGTGCAGTATTGAGTTTAAATGCGGGGCCATAGGTTTTTGGTGGAATTTTAATTGCTGAGAGAAAACGGGGTATCTATATTTGGATGGTGAAAGTTGTGTATATTTTAACTTTTTTTTGTAGTGTTGTCCAGTTTTACCTTGGGGAAGAGCACCTCATTTCGTTGCACCCACTTGTGAGCGCAATGACAAATAAATTTCTTATGTCTTATGTCTTATGTCTTATACTTGTGATGGAAAGTTTATGCTTGATGGCAAATCACACAACAAAACAAAAACTCATCTTCAGACTATAGGAAGCCTACAAAGTCATGCTGGGACAATCAGATGTTTTCAGCACATAATGAACTCTCTCTTCTAAGGATGTGCTACCTATAATGTATAGTTTGGCCTTCCGAAGCAGGCCATTGGGTCCCAAGACCTTGTCTTATTTTCGGGGAAACATGGTATATTGCTTATAAGACCCTGTCTTATTTTCGGGGAAACACAGTATATTGCTTGCAAACCAGAAGTTGGAACCCTGGTTTTCAGGGGTTGTAGACTGCAGTATCTCCGAGACACTATGATCCTCCTGTCTATTGGAGTCATATAATGAAGGGGGTAATGAGAGTCGTAGTTAAAAAAAAAGGGAACGTTCCCAAATTGTGGGAGAATCACACCAGCACATAAATCAAAAGAACCACACTGTTATTTGGAAATATACATCTTGGTCTGAACCGGGCTCTGGGAATCTCACAGCCAGGATTTAATATAATAATAATTTTCGAACTGCAGAGATGGAAGGGACTCTCTATGGATCAACGTGTCCAGCCCCATGTCAAGGAGGCCCATTGGAGAATCGAACTCCCAACCTCTGACTTTGTAGCCAGATGCCTTGAAGGCTTAAACCACTGAGCTATCTTGGCCACTGAGCTAAAATGGCTTCTTTTCATCTCTGTAAATCGCGTGACCCCAAGAGTTGCTTCCACCGCAGGCACAAGAAACCTCTGATGATGTTGGACTACAATACCCATCACTCCTCATCATTAACTATCCTGGTTAGGGCTAACTAGTGTTGTAGCCCAACCACATCTGGAGGGTAACACGTTCCCAGTTATTGATCATTTTGTGTCTATTATTTATTGCAAAGTAAACAATCATTCACAAATGGCACAAGATATTTATCTCTTTAATTATATACTTTTTTAAAATACCCAGCCTTTCTGCCAAAGAAGGGACTGCACACCGTGTACAACAGCTAAAAAAAACCCTGTCCATATATCTAAACTCATTAGACATTAGAATATCAATATGAAAATACAATTAAATTATGGAACAATATTAAAAACATCACTAGTTTAAAAGTGAATCAAGGAGTTGGAAGGGGACTTTAAGGCCCTCCAGTCCATTAAATCTCTTGCTCGGTGCAGGAATCCACATCAAAGCTGATCGGACAGCTGGTGGTCCAATATTCTCTTGAATGCCTCCAGCGTTGGAGCGCTCACCACCTCCCAAGGCCATTTGTTCCATTATCATACTGCTCTAACAGTTAAGAAGTTTTTCCTGATCTGGGTTGGAGTCCCCAACACAGTCACTGGGCCAATCCTCAACTTAGGCTACCTTGAAAGGCTGTTGTGAGGATTATGGCAGGGAAGAGGAAAGCCACCTTGATCATGTTCTTGAAGCAAAGGGGGGGGGTGGTTTATAAAAACAATTTCTTGTTTTTCTCTTACGGAAATTTGGATGTTGTGCGGCCACCTGGGCACAACAGCTCGAAACAATGAAGTTGGGCTGCTCCCAAAACAATCTTCAAGGTTTCCTAGCTATTAACTTTTTCCCTACTTTCCCTTCTTTTCTCAAGTATTTTAGCTTGAACAGTCAGCTATACCAATCTGTACTTCTTTCCTCCTTATTATATGACTAAAGTGTTGAGCTTTCTGCATTTTATGATTTCTTAGTCTTTACTCATTTGTTTCGGTACTTCTTCATCAGTCCTCTTCTCAACCCAAGAAGTTCTCACCATGCTGTGTCAAATCCACATTTCAAAAGCATTTATAGCTCAGTGAGTTAGGTTGGGAGTTTGATTCCCCTACTGTGCCTCCTGGGAGTCAAGCCAGCCTGGGTGGCCTTGGGCCAGCTGCACACCGTCCCAGAACTGCCCCCAGAAGAAGGGGATGGTCAACCATCTTCTGTGTATTCTCTACCTGGTAAACCCTGAAAAAATCATGTAAGCCAAAATGAACTTGATGGCCTCCGATTATTGCTTATAATCTGCCCCAGTGTTCCACAAATGGTCTCTTACATTTTTCCCCAATGGCCGTAAGGCTACAATAACCTCAAAAGGTATTATATTTTTCTGTGTATAAGATGCCCCAAGGAAAAGACGCCCCCACTTTTCTAATCCAAAATTAAGAAATCTAAGCGGGGCTTAGCAAGTGTAAGGGGAAAGGGATCAAAGCGCTGCAGGATTGATCGCTTTGATCCCTGCTTTCCCCTCCACTTGTTTTTTTCCTCCTCAGCTTATTACAAGATATGTATCTCTTTATTTATATACTTTTTAAAAATACCCAGCCTTTCTGCCAAAGAAGGGACTGCATGCCGTGTACAACAGCTTAAAAAAAAACACCTGTCCATATATCTAAACTCACAAGACATTAGAATATCAGTATGAAAATACAATTAAATTATGGAACAATATTAAAAACATCACTAGTTTAAAAGTGAATCAAGGAGTTGGAAGGGGACTATATAAGGCCCTCCAGTCCATCAAATCTCTTGCTCAATGCAGGAATCCACATCAAAGCTGATCTGACAGATGGTGGTCCAATATTCTCTTGAATGCCTCCAGCGCTGGAGCGCTCACCACCTCCCGAGGCCATTGATTCCATTATCATACTGCTCTAACAGTTAAGAAGTTTTTCCTGATCTGGGTTGGAGTCCCCAACACAGTCACTGGGCCAATCCTCAACCTAGGCTACCTTGAAAGGCTGTTGTGAGGATTTTGGCAGGAAAGAAGAAAGCCACCTTGATCATGTTCTTGAAGGAAAGGGGGGATTATAAAGACAATTTCTTGTTTTTCTCTTATGGGAAGTAGGACATTGTGCGGCCACCTGGGCACAGCAGCTTGAAACAATGAAGTTGGGCTGCTCCCAAAACAATCTTCAAGGTTTCCTAGCTATTAACTTTTTCCCTACTTTCCCTTCTTTTCTCAAGTATTTTAGCTTGAACAGTCAGCTATACCAATCTGTACTTCTTTCCTCCTTATTATATGACTAAAGTGTTGAGCTTTCTGCATTTTATGATTTCTTAGTCTTTACTCATTTGTTTCGGTACTTCTTCATCAGTCCTCTTCTCAACCCAAGAAATTCTCACCATGCAGTGTCAAATCCACATTTCAAAAGCATTTATAGCTTTTATACTGTGCCTCCTGGGAGTCAAGCCAGCCTGGGTGGCCTTGGGCCAGCTGCACAACATCCCAGAACTGCCCCCAGAAGAAGGGGATGGTCAACCATCTTCTGCATATTCTCTACCTAGTAAACCCTGAAAAGATCATGTAAGTCAGAATGAACTTGATGGCATCCGATTATTGCTTATAATCTGCCGCAGTGTTGTACAAATGGTCTCTTACATTTTCCCCCAATGGCCATAAGGCTACCATAACCTCAAAAGGTAATCTATTTTTCTGTGTATAAGATACCCCCATGTATAAGATTCCCCCCACTTTTCTAATCCAAAATTAAGAAATCTAAGTGGGGATTAGCAAGTGCAGGGGGAAAGGGATCAAAGTGCTGCAGGATTGCTTTGATCCCTGCTTTCCCCTCCACTTGTTTTTGTTCTCTCCTCAGCTTACTTCCATGTATAAGACGACCCTCAATTTTTAGTCTAAACATTTTAGACAAAAGTATAGTCTTATACATGGAAAAATACAGTATTTTGAATGCCTCACGTCTACGTAAGGACAAAATGGATGGACCCACGTCTTACAGCACTGCTGCTCTAATCAACATCGATCCATCTTTCTTATTCACATAAAAAGGCAAGCGATCTGGCTACAGTTCTTCCGCATCTCTCATTTCAGAGAAGCCTCTCCTTCCAGCGTTTGGTGCAGCCTTCCGCTCCCAAGGCCATGCGGGAGTCAAACAGATCTTTCAGCTGGAAGCGGACAATTGTGTCCTTGATGTGCACACCAGTTGTCAGGTTGATCCCTCCTCGTTGGGCGGAAGCCTCGCACGGTAAACAGCAAGCAGACAACGAATCGCAAAAGAGGTACAGTGTGCCAAAGGCCTCCCTTGGCTCAACTAAGGACCACCAAAATCTTCTTTTGCATTTCATACCCAGGCAGGAAGAACTTGGTTACCTGAGTGCAGCCCCATTCGAATCCTGACAGGCACCCCAGGGAGGTGTTTCACTCTGAACGACCCCACGGAGCTGAGGATGTCTAGGGACATGTTGGCCATCTCTGCCGCGTGTCTTGGGCCGTTGCGTTTTGGCAGCCCAGAAACGACCATATATGCATCACCGATGGTTTCTACCTGGAAAGCAAAGACATAATTTTCCTGAAGGGGAGCTGGAGATGTGGAATTTATGGAATCAGAGAAATGGAAGGAACTGAGAGGGCTCTTTTGTGACCAGATCCTTTAGGGACAGGCAGTTTTGGAAGTTTGGGGAACATTTTTATGGTCCTAAAACCAGCATGGACTGAAAAATAGCCAGGAAAAAAATAGGTACAGGAGAATTCCTGTATCCATGCGGGATCAGTGCCAAGTCAACCTCACCGTGGATACAGAAAACCACAGATAATAGTGAACACTACAAATGGCATGATCTCTGGCTCACTCTAGTGGTCAGTTCTGGTGACAGCATCATGGAAATACATATTTCTGGGAATTTGCTTTTAATATGTTTAATATTTTTAGACCATGGATAAGTGAAATGGCACATACTGGACATGGGGTACCACTGTACTTTCAATTTCTGGATGTCCAGTTTTGTTTTTCCCAGGTTGGGGTATCCATCATCCATCTTATAGCAAAAACACTGCTCTGGTAAGATAATTTTTATCTTTTTTATTTATTTTATTTTATTTCTTAAATTACGTACTGACCTATTAGTGCAAAAGCACTATTCTCTCAACTGTTCAACAAATAAAATTTAAGGGTAATTAAAAACACACCAAGTTTAAAAAAAAACCTGGCACAAAAACAACCAGTTTTTCCTCAATCTCCTGTCCAACCATGGACAGGAGATTGAGGAAAA